ACAAGGCTTGCAGCCATGGCTAGAGAGAGAAGAAGAAGTTGTATTGGAAAAAGTGTCGACATACAATCGAAGAAGTTGGAAAACCCTAATTAAACTTAGTGAAAATTGCTCTAAAAATCGTATATGAACATGTTTGCATGTTTGCGTAAGACTGGGAGTAGAGCCCATTCCCGTAAAGTGCTATACATTTCAAATATCGCCTTGGCTATTGTTGGAGGGTCAACGCTGAAGTGTAGAAAGACTTTTCATGCTGTAATCATACCAGAAGTCACCTAGTAGAATAGACAGCTCGTGAAACAATCGTAATATAGCACGTCATTCTCCTATGATCACCTTCCCTTAATGATGCCGTTCGGCCCTCTCCTATCTTTTGTTTTCTGCTGTTTCTTGTAACAATAGTATGGTGCCCTGATGTGAATGATAGCAACAGTTTGACTGTATTTGTTCCATGCGTCAAGCTTCAAGATTTGTCTTGATGATTATTGAGAAACAAAACTTTTATTTTAGACAGTGGAACGTATTTTGGGCTATTTTCATCTTACCTTTTTCCAATAATTATACCTGTTTCTCACTAAATAGAGCCATTCACACTTTGTACCATCAGACGTATGGAAAACAACGCTTTGAGTGGGTCTATTCCATCCACCATCGGCAATCTCATCAACCTCACTCTTCTGTGAGTATCGTCAAGGGAATAGGGACGTCAGCATACACGGCAGAGTAGAGGTGCTCAACTGAAAGTTCCTACATGTGGTGACACCAAGGCAAACCAAGTTGAGAATGAGGATGTATGCTGGGCATGAGCAAGGGCTGGCGCTGGACCAAGCCAGGCCACTGAGGCAGGTTTCCCACCAGTCTGCACGAACGAAGGTGTCAAACTGCTAGCCTCATATGTGTGGACCTGGCATTGGACACAGCCATCTCGTCCAATGGCACAACTAGTCTCTGAGTGAAACCCTTTGCGCAGTATCGGGCTTTGAAGACTGGCAATTCACCGGGTAGTTGTTTAACGCGGAACACCCACTTGCTATGAACAATGTTGACTCCGGACAAAAAGGTGAAACATTGCTGTCTGAGAACGGAGGTCGTGGTGGAGGAGGAGGAACACCAACCTAAGAAGGGCTGCCGCGAAGACGGTGGTAGGTGGTGAGAAGAGGGGCAGAAGTCGATGGACAGAAGCTGAAGGAGGAGGGATGGTTGACGCGGGAGGAACAGGAGGAAGGGGTTTTTATGGAGAAGGTGACGGGTTAGAAGGCGTAGAGGTGAGAAAGGGATATGTAGGGTTGGACAAAGTGGAAGGTGAAGTTGAGAATTTGGGAAGAACATGTAGACGGCGTTGAGCGTGTCCATACCTCAGTCTTAGTGACGTCATGTCTAAAAGGTTGAGGGTAGAGGTTGTGAAGAAGGGCTGGATGAAGGAATGTATAGCTCCACATGGATGGAGGAGCATTGGCATATTTGAGAAGACAATTTTCACCAAGGTACAATTGTGACATTTAGTGATGGCATTCGACTCCCAACTGTGGGAAAGAGTGAAGGTTTGTCGAATGCCTTGACTGGAGAAAGCAATATGAGGATTATGATTGTGGAACTCACCACCCCCGTTGGAGTGCAGACACTTAACGTTGGTGCAGAAGTGGTTTTGAGCTTAGCAAAGCCAAGTGATGACAATGTCAGGGACGGCTGTTTGGAGGCGAGAGGGTGGACAGAGGCATAGCGGGAGTAGTCAGCAACAATCACGAGAAAGTATGAGCGACCTCCCTGGGAGCGAATGGGTGCTGGTCCCCATACGTCCATGTGGACAAGGTTGAAAGAAGCAGAAGCAACAGAGGGGGATGAGGTATATAGTTGGGCTCATCCATTCAGATGGAGCTGAAGTTGGGTGTTGGGGCTCGCGAGTGAGGATGAGTAGAATTTCGTGTTTTTCATACTCTTCCTCTTCGCACATAACGCAGCTATTAAGTTGCCAATAGGCTTGTCCACTTTTGGATTATCATTACGCCGATGAAGGTGAAATTAGTGTTTTTGCTTTGTTGCTGCCTGACGATATCCTGCCACGCCACTGGCTCCTCCGACCGCTGCAGGGCGACGGGCGACAGCCTCAAGATGAGAGGACGTGCAGATGTGGGGCGACGGGCGGCAGCCCAACGTTGGGAGGACGAGAAGACATGAATCGGCTGCTCGACTTTGGGAGGACTAGCAGATGTGGGGGATGGGAAGCAACCTGAGGACAAGAAGATTCGGAGCAATGGGTGGCACTCCAATGTTGAAAGGGAAGAACAGAAAACAAGGCCGCGCCGATGCGGGGCAAACGGCGTACTAGGGATGCGCCAATACGGGACAAACCACAAACTAAGTTCGAGCGAGATGCGAGGATAGAGACTGACTCTACCCTCTTAGGAAAATGATGTAGCAATGCTCCAGTGATATAAGGATCAAGATCCGCATAGGTGGAAGAACGTACATCACATTATGTACCACAAACCAGAAGGTGGGTGGATAAGATGCAAACGAAAGGGAATCATAGGAGGATGCATTTAAAGCCGGGAAAACATTGGATGGATAGGGTTTGGTAGGTTGGGGATAATAAGTCTACATCTATCCCAACCAAGCTAAACTTACTAATTGTTGTAAACCCGAACACTCTAGGCTAATACACAAAGTGCAGCATATTTCTAAAAGACACTGGGATAGGACGTTTGGCTACATTTAGGCAGGGGCACATACTGACCGAACCGAGCCGGTTCGTTAATAGTCCATTAGTAACTAAACCGGCTCACTACCGAAGTGAACCACTTCGTTCACGTTGGTTTGCATAGTGCCGGTTCTTGGTTCGTTAATATGGCTAACAAACTGAACTGGTTCGGCCGAACCAGCCCAACTCGATACGAAATTAAGCGGTTCGTTTTTTTCACTGAACTTTGAGTATGGTCATACTAGGAGAAAACAAGTAAATAGTTGTAAGAAACACATAAATATTAGGTGTAAGGGGGATCTTGTAAGACTAAGACAGCTGTAAAGCTCAAAATAAGCTCCTACTCTTTGTTTTATTAAATATATATTCAAACTTGCATGACTACGTTCATCCTCTTGTATCCAATATTCATACCTGCTTCGCAATAAATAGAGTTGTCCACGTGTTGTACTGGCAGATATATCAAGAACAACGCATTGAGTGGGTCTATTCCATCCAGCATCGGCAGTCTGAGCAACCTTCTCGATGTGTGAGTATCATCAAAGGGGTATGGATGGCAGCCTACACTATATAAGGAGGTGCTCGAGCGCATGTGGTGACACCTAGTAGAACTGATATGAGAATGAGGATGTATGCCAGGCATGAAAGGGCTGGACCGAGCCAGGCCACTGAGGCGGGTTGCCCACAAGTCTGCACGAAGGTGTCAAACTGCTAGCCTCATATATGAGGACCTGGCAACGACCATTGGCACGACTGGTCATAGTACGTGACCTTCCTGCAGCAAGCTGACCCCGGTCAAACTGGAAGTAAATGCCGGACCAAGACGGATATGCCATACGTGCAAGAAGGTAAGAGGCAGGCCCGACCAGGCCAGCCTGGTTCAGGCCAGTGATTTTGTCTAGTCCACCCATGCCAGCCCTATCGTGCCATTGTAAACATGTTTCTTTCACACTCGGTCATGGGAGGAATTAGATATGTGCCAGCACAAACAAGAATTCAATGAGAGCTGTATCAACATCAAAGCTACACATAAGCAAAACATGACGAATCGTGGTTGCTGGGAGGAGGGTTAGGGGATAGGCTGTGTAGATTGGAGCTCAATGTTTGTTAGTGTCGAGAAGTTTGAACGAGAAATAAAGTCATGTTGAGCCAAAATACGTTGATGGGATTCTTGTATCAAAGAACAAACCAACCTGAACCTTAAAATTACAATCAGGGCAGGGTACTCTGCTCATGCCAACCTGATGGGCAGGGCCCGTACGACTCTGAGGTCACCGCACCCAATCAGCTAGATTTTCATGGATCGAGCTTTAAACGTGACCATCTCAGGTCGTGTTATTGTGCCACAGAGAACACACCCTCCATAAGCAGAATATGAGCCAGACCAATTCAAGCCTCCATGCGCTGACATGCCCCTTAGGCCTAAGGTCCTAAACTTTACGAAGAGATGTAGAAAATGAGAAATTGCCTAGGACTAGGCTCTATATACTTTAATAACACCATCACAAAAATCCTGCATCCGGAAAACCGATGAAAAAAGTTGTTTTGAAGTTTTGTCGAATGATTCATGAACGACGTTTTTCGAACGCTTTTTTGAGAAAGTATAGGTTGCTTTCCAAATGCTTTCTCGAACGCTTTTCAAATGCTTCTCTAATGCTTTTCTGTTCAAACCTGCCAGGTGAACACCTTCGGAAGAAGTTTGGTACAAGTTTCCGCAGAGCAATTTCGAAGATCGGATCTCATTGCAATGTACTCTTTATGGGATTTTGGGTTCATTAAAATAAGCTTATGTAGGGGACTTGCACGACCTTATATGTAATTTAAAACTATGTTAAGTTGCCTCAATCTTGCATTCAAAATGAACAGTACAGAAGCTTTGGTAAAAGCTGATAATTCCACCCTAAAAACGCACATAAAACAGCATCCTAAACCCTCTGTGCCTAGTCAGTTAGGTTGAGCTGCATCATCCTACGACCTGCTTAGCATGCTCCAGTACACTATGTCTTCCACCGAACCCCATCTCTGGTGCTCTAGGTTGAGCGTGCCCCTGCGTCCACTGCTTCATTGCATGCTCTGCCCTCTCATGCGTCTGCTGCTCCGCCCCTGGCGCTCCCCAGTCTTGCCTATACTGCTGCTTGCTCCAGTCATGCCTAACCTGCTGCCCCCCTTGTGCACTCCCCTCTATCTGCTCGTGCCTTTTCTGCTGCCCCCCCAACTCTCTCAACTCATGCCTTTTCTGCTGCACCCCTTGCACTATCTGGTTGCCTTGCTGGTTCCCCACCCTTGGACACTCCTCACATTGTCTCTACTGCTGCCCCCCTTGCTGACTCCACGCTTTTGCCGCCCGTGCCACCCCCCATGCTGACTCTACTTTCTTGCCTGGCGTGCTGCCCCCCTTGCTGTCTCCACCAATGCCTCTACCTCCGTTTTGATGTCTCCTCGCAAGTGTGTGATGCCTATCCTGCTGCCCCCCCTTGTAAACTCCACTCATGCCTCATCTGCTGCCCCCCTTGTTTAGTCGCCCCATCGCTTGACCCTCTTGCCTCCCCGGCGTTTGCCACTCTTGTGTCTTTTGCCCCTCCTTCGCTCCTGGCCCCCCCCCTTCTCATCCTCATCCTCATCCTCTTCCTCCTCTTCCACTTCTTCCTCCTCTTCCTCTTCCCTCCTGCTTCCCTTGCCTCCGCCTCTTTTGTGCTTTCTGCCCTTCCTCCTCTCCTGCCCCCTATGATTTTCATCCGCCTGCTCCCCCTCCTCCTCCTCCTCATCCTCTTCCTCTTCCCCCCTGCTTCCTCTGATTTTCCCTCTCTTCTGCCTTCTGCCCTTCCTAAGCTCCCGCCCCCCCCGTTCCACATCCTCCTCCTCCTCTTCCTCATCCTCATCCTCCTGCTCATCCCTCTTGCCTCCCCTGCTTTTGCATCTCTTGTGCCTTTTGCTCTTCCTCCGCTCCTGCCCCCACTGCTCCTCCTCCTCATCCTCCTCCTCCTCCTCCTCCTCCTCCTCCTCCTCCTCCTCCTCCTCCTCCTCCTCCTCCTCCTCCTCCTCATCCTCCTCCTCCTCCTCCTCCTGATCCTCGTCATCCTCCTCGTTATCTGTCTTCAAGTCCTCCACGTCGTACACCTCCTGCTCTTCCTCCTTAAAGTCCGTCTTCTCCTCGTCAGGCACGGCCTTCCCCTTGAACGCCTCAAATCCTGACTCGTGAACATACAGGCCACGGTCGCCCCACTTGAAGCCCTGCACGACTGTGTTGTACACGGGGGTGTGGCGTGTGAAGTGGTCCTTGATAATCCACCGCACATTTCGGTGCAAACCCGTCATCCACTCGGTGTTCTTGCGGTGGGAGTTCGAGACGTTCCAGTCGGTCTTCTTAACCTTTGCCAAGCCCTGGTCAATCTGAAAAAGCGTAGCAAAGTATGGGAAAGAGGGGAAATAGAGACATATGTGGACACTCGCGTGTAGAGTTCACGGGCTGCGCAAATAGCCCCACATTCCAGTCTGGCGGGCAAGAATTGCAAGCAAAGCTAGAGCGAACTGACGGGAGAGCAATAAAGCCTTACCACCATGATTGACCAGGCAATGTGGTAGGCTTTGACGCACACCCGGCGCCCAACACAGAGATTCCGAAATGCTTCCCGGACCGCATCTACAAACCGGCCGTTGGCAAACGGGAGCCCGTCTCTGCTGTTTCCCCACGAGCTGACCCGTTGATTCCCTCCTGCGCGCACGCAGGACAAGGCGGGGACGAAGATCATGCACGACATGGTTTAGGGGTTGTCCAAAGGGTATGGACGAAGTGGAGGGCGGTTTAGAATGAATGGAGGGTTGGCTGGAGGGCAGTAGAGCAGGGAAGGGCGGGAGAGAAGGGGAGGGCAGGAGAGAAGGGGAGGGCAGGGGAGAGGGGGAGGGCAGGAGAGACATGGAGGGCGGGATAGAAGGGGAGGGCTGAAGAGAAATGGAGGGAGGGAGAGAACGGGATGGCGGGAGGGAAGGGGAGAGGTGTAGATTAAAGGGGGGGCGGGAGAAGGGGACAGTGGGAGAAGAACCAACGTTAAGCTGTCATGCGGATGTGACTGCACATGCGCTACAAGGCTGGGCAAGGAGAGCAGGTATGTAGTTGCGTGCCACAGTGGGGATGCATTAGGGTAAGTTGTTCATCATCGTCACGAGGGGTGCACGAGCAGATGAAATTAATGGTGAAGTAAAACAGAAACGCGCGTTCTCACTCGGTTGGTATTTTCTCCACATCTTCTTCTTCTTCTTGGTGCCCATCCAGAGATCGGCTGCACGCAGGCCTTGCACATTCTTGCCGAAAGTTACAAGCACTCTGCGCTTGAGGTGGAAGCCACGATCGTTCTTCCATGACGTCCAAGCGCGTTTGAAGCCGTCGACGATGTTTTTGTCTTCCATAGCCTCTCGCAGCTGCATCAGCTTAATTATGTGCGTCTCGCTGATAACCTGATACAAAACCTGAAGGCGCTGTTCGAGCATTGGGTAGAAGTCTATGGCATCATCTGGCCATTCTAGGCACATCCGGTCCCGCCCCACGGCGAAATGAACCTATGACGGACGGGTGGATTGGAAACGTAAAATTGAGTGATGCCTCCGAATGAAGGGCGGAATTCAGAGGTTGAGAGAGAGGGCTGTTGCCATCACTGCGCCGCATGGCTCCCATACCAACAACAGCACCATGAACATGGGCTCTGGAAGAGGTGGGGGAGGGATGGGAGAGAGGGTGCAGGGAGAGGAAGGATAGCTGCTATGGTGAGCTATCACTCCGCCGCATGACACCCACCCCACCACCAGCACCATGAACAGGAGCTCTGGTTGAGGTAGGGGAGCGATGGTAGAGTGAGAGGGGAGAGAGAGGGGATAAAATAGTCAGAGCGAAAGACGGGAGAGTAGGCAGAGTGAGAGGGCACCGTACGCCCAGCGCGAGGGTCCATGTTCTCCTCGTACGAGGAGTCTCAACTTCCACTGCAGCCACCCCCCTGCACGCTACGCCGCATGCCACACGCGTGACCAGCAGCACCTTTTACAGTGGCTCTGGACGAGGAGGGAGAGGGACGGGATAGAGAGGGGAGGGAGGAGCGGCTGACAGAAAGGGGGCCGCGTGGGATTGACGGATACGGCTTCCTCTATTCCCTCCGCCGCATGACACCCACACCACCCCCAGCACCATGAACAGGGGCTCTTGCAGAGGGCGGGGAGGGATGGGAGAGAGAGGGGAGTGAGACGAAGGATGACTGCAATGCTTAGCTATCCCTCCGCCACACGACATGTATTCCACACCACACCCAGCACCATGAACATGGGCTCTCGCAGAGGGAGGGGAGGGATGGGAGAGAGCGGGGAGTGAGATAAAGGATGACTGCTATGCTTAGCTATCCCTCCGCCGCATGACACCCACACCACCCCCAGCACCATGAACATGGGCTCTCGCAGAGGGAGGGGAGGGATGGGAGAGAGGGGGGAGGGATGGGAAGGATAACTGCTGCGATTTACGATCACTCCGCCGCATGACACCCACCCCACCACCAGCACCATGAACAGGAGCTCTGGTTGAGGTAGGGGAGCGATGCACGAGTGAGAGGGGAGAGAGGGGGGATAAAATAGTCAGAGCGAAAGACGGGAGAGTAGGCACATTGAGAGGGCACCGTACGCCCAGCGAGAGGGTCCATGTTCTCCTCGTACGAGGAGTCTCAACTTCCACTGCAGCCACCCCCCTGCACGCTACGCCGCATGCCACACGCGTGACCAGCAGCACTTTTTACAGTGGCTCTGGACGAGGAGGGAGAGGGACGGGATAGAGAGGGGAGGGAGGAGCGGCGGACAGAAAGGGGGCCGCGTGGGATTGACGGATACGGCATCCTCTATTCCCTCCGCCGCATGACACCCACACCACCCCCAGCACCATGAACAAGGGCTCTCGCAGAGGGCGGGGAGGGATGGGAGAGAGAGGGGAGTGAGATGAAGGATGACTGCTATGCTTAGCTATCCTCCGCCACACGACATGTATTCCACACCACACCCAGCACCATGAACATGGGCTCTCGCAGAGGGAGGGGAGGGATGGGAGAGAGCGGGGAGTGAGATAAAGGATGACTGCTATGCTTAGCTATCCCTCCGCCGCATGACACCCACACCACCCCCAGCACCATGAACATGGGCTCTCGCAGAGGGAGGGGAGGGATGGGAGAGAGGGGGGAGGGATGGGAAGGATAACTGCTGCGATTTACGATCACTCCGCCACATGACACCCACCCCACCACCAGCACCATGAACAGGAGCTCTGGTTGAGGTAGGGGAGCGATGCACGAGTGAGAGGGGAGAGAGGGGGGATAAAATAGTCAGAGCGAAAGACGGGAGAGTAGGCACATTGAGAGGGCACCGTACGCCCAGCGCGAGGGTCCATGTTCTCCTCGTACGAGGAGTCTCAACTTCCACTGCAGCCACCCCCCTGCACGCTACGCCGCATGCCACACGCGTGGCCAGCAGCACCTTTTACAGTGGCTCTGGACGAGGAGGGAGAGGGACGGGATAGAGAGGGGAGGGAGGAGCGGCGGACAGAAAGGGGGCCGCATGGGGTTGACGGATACGGCTTCCTCTATTCCCTCCGCCGCATGACACCCACACCACCACCAGCACCAGGAACAGGGGCTCTCGCAGAGGGAGGGGAGGGACGGGAGAGAGAGGGAAGTGAGATGAAGGATAACTGCTATTCTTAGCTATCCATCCGCCGCATGACACTCACACCACCACCAGCACTAGGAACAGGGGCTCTGGAAGAGCTAGGCGAGGGATGGGAGAGAGGGGGGAGAGATAGGAAGGATTACTGATACAATGAGCTATCCTTGCGCCGCGTGCCACCCACACCAGCACCAGCACCATGAACAGGGGCTCTGGTTTAGGGTGGGAAGGGATGGGAGAGAGGGGCCAATGGAGGATGGATAACTGCTATGGTGAGCTCTGGGTCGGGGGCAGAATGTGAGAGCATCGTATGCCCAGCGCCACGTCCATGAAGCGAGGCGTACTGGGAATGCCTATCCCACTGCAGACATGCCGCTATCACTGTGCATAATTCCACAAACACGCTTACCTGCAGCAAGAGGGGTTGAGAGAGAGAGCTGCAGCTATCACTGAGCCCCATGCCACACATTGTTTAACACTAAAACAATCTCACCTTCAGCAGCTTGGGTGTGGGCATCCCACGCGTTCGACGGACCGGTACGTCTACCGTCGCTGGGCTTTCTGGCGCCACGTCTGGATCGAGGCCCCCTATAGATGGGCCGCTCGACAGAGATGCTAGAGGAGGAGGCCTAGATGGAGGGGTGCAGGGCTTGACAGCTCCTTTTGATCCTGGCCTTGCCTTGAGTGCAGCGATTTCGCGATCCCGCTGGGCAAGCTCTCGCATGAGCTGCTCCACAGTCCTGCCGCCAGCCACATCCGGCCGACTGGATGCGCCAGGTGTGCCCATGCTCTCTCCCCTCCCCTCCTTAGTGGCTGGATCCATTTTCTCGTCCCCCCCTTCTCCCCTGCTCTCCCGTATATCCCACATGGAGCCTTCCACACCGCCGCCACATTCACCCAAGGCATTCGCCCACACACCTCCTCCCACACCGTCATTCGCTGCTGCAGCTACCGAGGGTTCGTGCCGCTTCGTTGCCCCCTCGTTCTTCACATGAACCGCGCGACCCCCCATATGGTTGGGGGGCGGGTCCGTCGCTTCTTTGCCAAACCGCGCTGACCCCCAAGCCATCTGATCTCCTTCCCCAGCCGAACCCCTCGGATAGCGTAACGCAGCGTACGAGTCCGCGGCTTGCCGTTCAAGAGAGCTTGATGGACATCTTATCCTCATTGATTCGTAAAAATTCAACTCCCGCTTCGCCTTGCTACGCACACCCACTATTTTAGCTTCGAATCGAGGCCTCTGGCGCTTGCCTTGTGGTTTGGCACGACGCACACTCTGTTTACAGATCTTCACCCGTCCCCTCTCCGATTTTTGCTTAGCGTTGCCCTTCTTGAGCTTCCGCACACTCCTCCTCTGCAAAGGCCGAGCCTCCTCCCCATCCTCGCTCTCCGGCTCCAACTCCTCATCATCCTCGTCCTCCTCCTCCTCAACCTCGTCCTCGTATACCTCCTCACTCCCGGATGAGCTGCCCGACTCACTGTCGCTCGAATCTTCCTCGGAACCAGACGAGCTCAAAACGTGCACATTGGGGCCGCGCCGAGCTTGTCTCGCCTTATGGTCGCAACTGCCCGGATCCACAGCCTTGCGCCGTTGGTAGGGAATCACAGCTTCACGTCCACCTTTCCCATCAGTCACAGCTGCTGGCTCGTCCTCATCATGATCGTTAACGCCACGGCATGCAGGCACGGCATGATCCTTCTCGTCGCCACCATCCGCATCCTGCGTCTGCCTACTCGAGGGACCGCCCTTAGCCGCGGCAGCCCTGCCGCCGTTGCGCATGCTGCCACCACGAGCTTCCGGCTCGGCATGATCCTTATCGTCGCCACCATCCGCATCCTGTGAGCCTGAGGGACCGGCCTTGGCCGCGGCAGCCCTACCGCCGTTGCGCATGCCGCCACCACGAGCTTCCGGCTTGGCATGATCCCCCTCGTCGCCACCATCTGCATCCTCCGACTGCCTGCCCGTGGGACCGCCCTTAGCCGCGGCAGCCCTGCCGCCGTTGCGTATGCCGCCACCACGAGCTTCCGGCTCGGCATGATCCTTCTCGTCGCCACCATCCGCATCCTGCGAGTCCGAGGGACCGCCCTTGGTCGCGGCAGCCCTGCCGCCGGTGCGCTTTCCGCCACCACGAGCTTCCGGCTCGGCATGATCCCCCTCGTCGCCTCCATCCGCATCCTGCGACTGCCTGCCCGAGGGACCGCCCTTGGCCGCGGCAGCCCTGCCGCCGTTGCGCTTTCCGCCACCACGAGCGCGTTGGCCTGCCGTCCCATCTGCGAAGGCGGACATGACAGGTACATAAGATATAAACAATATATAGGGAGTTGCAGCATGACATGCGGCGTCATTGTTATGAGTAACGTGCAAAATATAAACCGTCGATATCACACCCACAGCGTACCTAAGCTGTCAGGTCCCCCGTCTTTGCCCTCCTCGTCGCCTTCAGACGCAGGCGTTTCCTCACGATGTGAACGAGTGCCTCTTTTTCTTGGACGGTGCTTACGGCCCCCCCGGTTGTCTCGCTTGTCCGCTATCGCTGATGTGGAAACACAATTGGAGAGACGATAACCTCCAACAGGTCAGACACGACTACAAGCATCAATTCATGCATACAAGTAGAATATTCCGCATCTGCGACCATAAACACATACCTTTCTGGCCGCCTTTGGGAACGAGATCATCTAAGCGCTTCACGCGCTTATCCCTTGGTTTCGAAGGGGATGATATGCCCTTGTTTGCGTATGGCTCCACATCGCAGTCGCTATTCGATTCGTCACCGGATGACGAGACACGTCTGGAATCAACAACATCTCGCGCCGTCGACGCATTATTTTTGCGATACTCGATTACGAGCTCGGCCGTCTTATCTGCTGTTACTAACTCGCCAAAGTTTGTTTCGTCGGGGGTTTTAGTCGATTCAGCCAGTACGATCGCCCCCTCGGGCCCCTTCATTGTCTGACTTCCTTGTTACCATGTCTAGCTTTCCATTCACGCAGTACTATGAGGTTGCGGGTTGTGCTAACGCCTAGAACCTGACAGCAGTCTACGAGCATAAAAATTTGGTTGAGGAGGGTGAGGGACGAGGCAAAGTCTGGGGCCTAGAGCAGGCGATCGTCACAGCTGGAGGCATGCAAGGGGAGCACGGAGGTGATGAGGGTTTGAGTGTTTCCTGCTATGGTGCACGTTGCGACTGCCAGGTCCCCCATTTCCGCCCTCAACCAATCGCCTGGTGGTTGAGGTGTATAAAGGAAAAAAATGCAGCACTGCCGTGTTAAGATTCCGTGGGACCTAACGTGCTTAATTGAGTATCAGTCCACAAGCGGCAGGGTGGGCTTCTTTTTGTTAAACCCGACAGTCAAATGCGCTACTGTATCTGGGTTCGCGAGGGTCATAATTATTCTGCCCGGGTTGTCGTACTGTTTACAAAGAAGTGCCTCGCGTGCCACACTAACCTACACAAGCTGCACGTCAAGAGTCACATAGGGTCTGCGGAGAAACGGCGACGCTCGATCGCAGCAAGTCGTACAGCGATGCGACAGGTCGACACGAAGCCGTTGCGGCACGTCTGCGATAAAAACGCAGACTCAAAAGTTCCTTGTGTGTGGTTGCGACTGGTTCGCAAATCAGGGAGATTCGCGTACGTGGCATAGCGTGGAGTCGAGTGGAATGGCGCAGGGCGGGGCACGTAATGGCACATTACTTTGCAAAGCCTCAATAGTGTGGTGTACCTACATGTTAAGAGTGGAATTAGGGGGTTATGCAGTTGTAAGGAAAATCTCGTTTTCCTTACTTCGCATCCCTGCTAAACGCGTCCATCACTGTAGCACCTCAGTCAGCACCGTTACCACTCGCATCGACAATCCGCCCGCCACTTTCGCACGTCGCACCCCGACCTCACGGCCAGGGCTGACGATATCAGGGTAATTACCCTGATTTCAGGGTGATTACAGGCTTATGACTTGGTGGTCCCTGCAAACACAGGTTTTGTATTTTGTGAACTCTGATCCTATCAGAGTAGCTACTTAACGGACTCTGAATTCTTGTAACTAGGCTCAGGGTAGTGTACTTGCCGACTCTGTCCATGTAGAGTATGCGATGGAGGCACACCATGAGATGGAGAGCTTCACCCAGGGCCTGTCCAACTTCCTTGGGAGCGCAGACTCCAAGAGGTAGCCTTTACTCTGCGTCCATGGGTTTTACAATCTTGTTGATTGCTAACTAATTCCGTTGTGTCGCATGTGCCTGGCAGGAGATGGCCCAACCTCATCCTGCTGTGGTAGGCGCTGGCTGTGCTCCCTCTCTCCACCGTGGAGTGCGAGAGGGGGTTCTCCAGGCAGAACGTCATCAAGTCCTGGGTGCGAGGAGCGATGTGCAACGCGCGTCTGGGGGAGCTGATGCAGATATCGCTCCTCAAGTATGAGATCGACTGGCCGGAGGCACTGGAGGTGTGGAGGTCCCTGTGTACTAGGCGCCCTGCGAAGAGCTTGAAGCTGGCTGTAGCAGAGAGGGAGAGGAAAGGGAAGCAGAAGGAGGGTGAAGATGTGGCTGCTCGAAATGCCTGGGAGAATGAGGATGAGGAGGAGGAGGAGGAGGACGATGAAGTGGAACAGGCCTTTGACGACGATCAAGAGATTGTGGGGGAGGAGGAAGTGGAGGACAATCCATTCCTGTTGGACGATGAGGATGTGGAGGAGGTGTACTTCATAGACAAGCCCGTGCACTAGACTAGATAGAGTAGGAAACTGCATGCACTTGTCTTATTTAGGAAAATAGTGCATTGTTAATAGCAATCCTTCACTAAGTTGTACCTTTTTCCCGATAGTGCAATCCTCGTTCGCTCACTCAATTGCACTCGTAATAGGAGTCCCCCTAACCCATTAGCATTGTGACAAGTATGCAACATAACAGTGTAAAACCAAACACCACCTTCACAGAACATGCACATAACGATCTGCGGTGGAGCAGTCATTCTGATACATCGAATGATTAGTAAGTACGCATTATTTGACTGCTGCCTGGTCGTTATGAAACGCGTATGGGCATGTCTCCTCTCATGCCAATTGAGGTGCAATAATACGGTAATAGAGCCAGACACAAACTCCCCGTATGGGGCATGGCTGCTCTCATGCCATACAGGGCAACCTTTATGCAGGGACCCAAGACCATGCTGTGTTGTATGTTCTAGGTTCATGCTGGAACGGAGTTGAGAAACCCCTGCTGTTCTACCCACTAGAGTTGTGGCGACATGCAGGTATGTTTTGCAGCATCACACCGACCCATTGTGTATTGTTTGTATACATGTCAAGCAGGAACGCCAGTGACAAACACTTCCCTACGGGTAGTGTTCTCTAGACATGGAGGACTGGTTGTGGCCAACACTCTCATTTGGCCACACTTGTTGTCAAGTCATGCAGGACTGATTCAAGGCCTCTCCATTGCGCTTTGTGTCATGTTTGTTGGCATATCAAGCTGGCAGGACGGATGAACAAACAATTCCGTATTGATCTTGTCCTCATTCCCCCATGCTACCCGCTTCCTTGTTCTTCACTCACACACTTATTCCTCCCACGTACCCGCCTCACCCCCTCCTGCTTCCCGCCTCATTACCTCTGCTTCCTGCCTCATGTCCCCTCGCTTCCGGCCTCATCCCCCCTTGCTACCCACCCCATTCCCCCTTGCTTCCCACCCCATTCTTCACTGCGACCCTCCTCATTCTCCCTTGATACCCTCCCCATTTCCCCTTGCTTCAGGCCTCATTCCCCCTTGCTTCAGGCCTCATACTCACTTGCTACCTCCCTCATTCCCCCTTGCTTCACAGCCGCGTCCCCCTTGCTTCCCGCCTCATTCTCCCTTGCTACCCCCCTCATTCCCTCTGCTTCCCGCCTCTAGTCCCCTCGCTTTCGGCCTCATTCCCCCCTGCTACCCACCCCATTCCCCCTTGCTTCCCACCCCATTCTTCGCTGCTACCCTCCTCATTCTCCCTTGATACCCTCCCCATTCCCCCTTGCTTCAGGCCTCATTCTCCCTTGCTTCAGGCCTCCTTCCCCCTTGCTTCGAGCCTCATACTCCCTTGCTACCCCCCTCATTCCCCCTTGCTTCAGGCCCCAATCCCCCTTGCTTCCTGCCTCATTCTCCCTTGCTACCCCCCTCATCACCCTTAGCTTCCCGCCTCATGTACCCTCGCTTCCGGCCTCATCCCCCCTTGCTAGCCACCCCATTCCCCCTTGCTTCCCACCCCATTCTTCACTGCTACCCTCCTCATTCTCCCTTGCTTCAGGCCCCATTCCCCCTTGCTTCGGGCCTCATTCCCCCATGCTTCCCGCCTCATTCTCGCTTGATACCCGCCCCATTACCAGCTTTTCACCGCCGCCTACCCCACCTCCAACCTCCAACATTGTTTTTGCCCGAAAATACACAGACCACTTCCTCAAATCGTGACGGTACTGACGGCGCCAATGGAGTGGCGTCCCTACAAGCTCACACGCCGGTAGTTTATGGAAACCATCCTCGACCAACGTGTGCATCACACGCATCGTGAACACACCACAGTCGTTCTCATTTGCCTGCACGGGTATCTGGACAATAACAGGGTGCGTGAGCGCGTGGTAAGGGCCGGGACGGGAGTGGGGTTTCGGTGTGGAAATTGCGTGCAGGGAAAGAGAGATGCGATTGTTTCAAAGCTCGTACACACAAGGCAACAGCACTCACCGTGACCTGCCTTAGTGGGATGCTCGCCGCCCATGCATCTGCGTCCGACTCACTGATCCATGCACAGGATCTTAACACCTCGTTTCGCAAGTACCTACACACCGGGAGACATAGATTCAATGCTATCGTAACCCCGAACTTCTGTACGTGACAATAGCAGACTGCCATTAAAAAGAGAGTACCTTCACAACGGGGCATCGACACCGGCATGCGTGCCGTACGAGTCAGCGTGCCAGAGCACACAGTTCATGGGTATCGGGTCGTCGGGCCTCGGGATGCGCTCGATCACGATCAGGCTCCAGTGACTCCTAAGGCACACATGAGGTCTAACATCAGTAACGCCAATGTTAGACTACAGAAATAAAGATAACCCGGCTACGGCTAGACGCGACGACTACTCACTCGGTATTTATCGGAACGAGTACATATGTGAAATCGAAAATACCCAGGCCGAAAGTATAGGCGTTTTCACGCCGCGAAATGTCCTTCTTAGCATATTCCCAGAAATATGATCCACTGTAAAGCCATTTCTTGCTGTCGCGACCGTGTTCGTACTGCAGCATCCTGCGCACGCGCGTATT